TGGGTTTGGATCTAATAATAGTCAGCCACATGATGACATATAAATATAGATCGGTAGATACTATTTTATTGCACGCCAAACAAATTGTCTTGAAAAATGTTTAACGGTAGGTACACATTTAATAAAAGTAATGACCATTGTAATCCTTGGGGGAGGCCTTTGTCGAGCAGTGGACGTCTTTCTGCTGAAACAAACGAACAAACGAATGGCCGATACATCTTTGTCCAGCAGTGGAAGTTATTCATCTGAAACGAACGATTACACTATCACTCGAACCAAGTTTCTGTATCAGTGTCACTTTTATTAAATTTAGAAATTCGTTGTGATGTTGCCACTTCTGTGCCCGACTATACAGTAGTTTACAAAGTTAGTCTCCGTTGTGTGAGACCGTTTTCTATAACAAATGTTTATAGAAGCGAACTTGGGTGGTTCCGAGAAATAGATAAAGTTGCTTTGATTAAATTTACTAAGACTCGAAATCAAAGGACAGAGTTGGAAGTTCTCTTTCCATTGAAATTCCACGTACGGGCCCTTCGAGCGAAAATGTCAGTGATTTATACTACAGCTGAGCTAATGCTTGTTTGATGTTACTGTTTTTCTTGTGTTGAATAAACAGCAATTGAAATAAAAGTTTTGAATTCATTCTTTATTGTACGACAAAGATTTTCATGAAATGAGCAGGCGAATGATATTGTCTTAAATGTTTCAATGAATAAATTTTAATACTGAAGCCTTTTGCCTGTTTAGACCTTGAAAATAATTACCAATGGATTATTAAATAGGTAAAATCGATTTTACAAGTAGGTCTTCTTACACGGCAGTTTTAAATCATTATTAATTCAATCAAAAAGTAGTATGTACCTATTAGTAAAATTACTAAATTGGCTCTGCTTAAACAAACAAACGACAAAATACTAAAGGTCACTTTGAACATCGTCAATGATAATCAGAATTCTAATGCAAGCATTACATTATCACAGAAGCAATGACGAAGCTGTATACCTTAAATATCTCTAAACCACTTTCAGCGCATGCCTACGATTCGCGCCCGTGGGTGATGACAAATGACTGCCGATGACGCGCGTCTCTTGAAAGGGCGCGTGTTAACGCGGTGATGTGTGTGTTAACATCGTGGTTGATATAAACGTCACATTGTGCTGAAAACGGTATTAATGGTCGCCACTTTGTGGACAACTATTTGTTGTCGGTTGTTTGGAATGGAACGTTTTTTTTTCGTTGTTTATCGAGTCGAATTGCGGAATTTTGCGGAAAACATGGGCTTTTTTGGTTAGTACTGGAGGAGTAGCCAACTCTTTTTAACCACCTTATTAAATAGTTATTGATATTTGATTATGTAATCAAAAATTCAACAAACTAAACTCATTATTTTTTCTTATTCTGGCTTAGAAAATATTTTTGTACCAATGCTATATTAGCTTGACCTACATATCGTCCTCTAAAACGGTTGACATTCAATGATTCATGTAAGTATGTTACCATCCACTACTCTCTATTCAACACCTACAATATTGTAATCTAAATTAATTGAAATCAAAAACATGTGTACCTAATGTATTTTTGTTTCTGTACATCATTGACACAATCGTCATAATCCACAGCCGAGCAGATCCGACACGGCCATAATTCGCGTCTTCATTCGACAAAACCCGATAAGTGGATGAAAATTCGTGAACAGAATAAATATCTGCGAATACTTTTTGCCCCGGATCGTTATTTATTATTTATGGAAATAGACCTGGCAACTCCATCGAGGAAGGTCGTCATATTTTTCTTAAAAAAAAAGTAATGTCCCCAGGCGAAGCGCGTTTGTCATGCAAATTTATGCTATCCGTTTGCCGTTCGTTTTTAAACCGATCTAGACGGAATATTGAATCGAAAAAAGAGTTCACAATAATGGCTCACGAAAGAAACGAAATCGTAAATTAGAATTATCGTAATCGTTCACCGTATTGGTATCGATCTGATCGAAGGAAGGTTACGTCGGGAAATGCTAAATACCATGCCGGAATTGCTTCGGTAATTTATTGACGTTTGGTATTCAAAGAGTGTTCTATAAATACTTTTAAAAATAGCAGTGGTATGGTAATACAAATACTTATTACTGAAACCCGCAAACAACAACATCCACGCATTTTGCTGTAATTTTTACGGATTCTGCAAATAAACACATAACAAAACGATATAATAGATATACCTACAGACATATTGATGTATCACAACCATGAATGTATATTAAAATATAATATAGGTAATAATATGTTCGTTCTTCCATCCGCTGAATAAATGCAAATGTTCAGGATGATCATGATGTATAAATATTGATTTTGATAATTGATTGTGATAATAAGGAATGTACCTTATTATCACACAAGCTTATCTGTATTTGTGTTCGCATATTTCAGTACGGTTTCAAGACAATAATTATATAGCTGAAAATGAAATTTTATTTACCTTTTAAAGCTTCAATCTGGTGAAAAAGCCAAAAAAGAATATACGGTTAGCTCTCCTGGGATATCAAATTCTAATACAGCCAGCCATTCATTCGATGGCCATTTTGAACCGGCCAATAATACTCGGCGCGGTGGCAAACAATAAAAATCTAATTCAATCGCGAACAAAACGAAAGCGGTTTAGTCGCATAGTGCGTCACCGGACGGCAATATTTCGGGGGAATCGACGGTGTTCCACGGCCCGACACCTGTAATTGTCAGCTCGAATTCAAATTCAGGCCGGGGCGTTATTAAAAAAACGCCTACGTGGAATTTATTCCAAAAGGCCACGTGAGGGCCCACTCGACGGTTTATCGTTCGAAAGCCGCATTAAAATTCGCCAGCCCATTAACGGATCACGTCGTAGAAACGTTCCATATTCGAATGGTATGAAAATGGCGGCGTGTCAAGCTGGCTGGTTAATGCATCATTGGTTTGTTGGTTGTGTGACCTCGCGCAGTGAGGTGTTGAGAGGCTGCGGGCTCATAGGGAGGGGTTCGGGCCCCCAAGGTCGGGTCGGCCTTAGTATGCTCGGCGCGGCGGCGCCTCAAGCATCTGGCGCCGGGCACGTTGCACCGGGACCGACACGAGTGATCCGCCCTTTTATTTATAATGGTGTAGCACCGCCGCTTATTTACCGGGGTAATGATTGACCGATTAGAATTAGCCAGGGAGGCGACAGATTTATTTTTATTTTAGTTTTGTACATTTTGTCAAAAATTTTGCAAATAAAGTCTTTTATATGAATTCTCAGACATCAAATATTACTGTCTGAGAATTTACGTAAGAGTAATATTATTTCCAAAACGAATTCCTTCCTAGTTAGTAGTGTGGTGTCTTAAATAAAANTAAACCTAATTAGCATACGTAAATAATCAATATTAAATATTAAATTCCACCTAACAAAATGTTGAATGAAAATTTTATCACTTTGTATATTGGGGTGTGTCATACCCCACCTGGTACGGGACGTAACTTTTAGTCACCTCGTACACGGAGGGTTAAAACGCCCCTAGGTCTGCGGGTGTCTATGGGCGACGGTAATCACTTACCATCAGGTGATCCGTTTGCTCGTTTGCCTCCTAAGTATCACATAAAAAAAAAAAAAAAACTTCACTTTTTGCGAATTTAACAATTTGCGCATTGACATTTTGCCAATTTGGCAATTTGCGAATTTGACAGATTGCGACCGCTTGACAATTTGCGAATTTGACAATTTGCGCTTAGAGGTCACCATTTAGCCTCAAGGAAGGAGCACAAATCTCTCTAGTTTACAAACGGCGGAGGATTTGTCTTCACACTGGCGAAACGGGTTCAAAAGGCCTGGTTTTCGTATATTTAGACCTTTCGCCGCCTTTTAAGACATCCACGTGAAGAATGGGCTCAGTCGGCACCACGGCAAAACTATTTTAGCTTAACTGGAGTACTGATGATATTGTATCTAGTCTATATCTAATGGATAATATAATCATGGTTATTTAATTATTTACAGCTTGAATACGGCGACTAATATACTTGTGTTTGCTCTGGATTTCTCAAGTTTGGAGTTTTACTCCTCAAGCACCTTATTCCAATTAGCTCAAAGGAGAGCGGAGCCTAAAACAGTCTCTGACTACGTCAGAGTAACCTATGGTTAGTACAATGTTAATGTTTCTTTTATACANTCGTCGCCAATGTGGTGTCTTAAATAAAACACTGATATATGTTCACTGTGTAAGCTAGTGCAAGCACTGACGTCCGTCCCGTGTGGCGGCCCGACTACGACTGAGCCCCCACCGCGCCGTACTAGTCAGTGTTGCCATAGCGCACACACTTTATTTGTGTAGTAGTACACCACAAGTAGTAACCTCCAGCTCGCAAGTCACTCATTATTTGTGTGAGCAGTAACCAAACTATTTTTTTCAGTGTATGCTGTACGATATTCAGCCATAAGAGCCTCACGAATTCAATTCCTTGACTGTACACTACTGTACACACTGTACAGTTACTAGGCCACACTACAGTACCATCTACCCATCTCCGTGTTTTGTCTCGCTTTCATCATTTAATGGTGATTCTTTGCGATAGAACGAGACGACAATATGACCGGATATGTATAGTAATATTATGCTCGAATTAATGTTTTTTCAAGTACCTACTTACGTAATAATAGTAAAAATCTAAACTGTATTACATTGAGATAAAAGTGAATTGTTAAATATGATTTTATAGAAACATATTTCTTATATTATATTATATTATATTATATATTCAAACCGAAACTAAAAAAAAGTAGGTATGTGACTCTATTATGAGTCAACAATGGTAATTAATTGCAGTTGGCACAGATGCGAGAGGCTAATTGTATTATAATATAAACAAATAAAAAGACGATAAATTATTTTATCTTATAAGAGAAAAAAATAACTTAATAAAAATGTCTTTTTAGTTAAATTATCGTTATTGACAAAGCATTGAAACGTGACGTTATATAAGGTGGCCCGTGTGGTAGAGTTGTATCAATTGATCAAGTTTCTTGGCAAGATGATGGTCCGGGTGTTTTTAGTCGTTCTGCTAGTCGGTTGGTGCCATGCCCAGGGTAAGATTTTTTTTAAATGAAAATTCTCTTGTTTTTAATTTGAATTAAAAAGGTGCTTATGGCATAATTGTGTTAAAACTGTGTCACTTGTGTAGTTAAAATAATTCATGTAGTAGGTACCTACCGTTATCGTCAGAAAGATCGAAGCGTCTAAGGTAGCCAAAATGATCTGATATTAAATATTTCATATAAATATTGCATTTATTGTAAGCATATTGTTTGAGGCACCCAAAGTAGTCAATATATTATGTTAGCAACACTGTTCTCAATTTTATAATAAATAAAATAAAATAAAATTCATTTATTTCAGGCCAGGGCCCATAAAATTTCAATAATAATTGCATTAAATAATTAAAAACATATTAAATCAATCAAAATAATAGAGAGAAATAAATTAAATTAAATTGAATTGAAAAAAAAAAATAAATTAAATTGAATTGAAAATTACATTAAAAAGTAAATTGAAAATTAAAAATAATTTATATGAGCTGTCAGGATGTTCAAAAGTATGCAGATAAATAGTTCAATCTTATCTATGTATGTGCCATTTTGCAGCAAAAACGTTTTGTACCTAAGCCTTAAGCCATTATTGGTTATTTGTTGAATACGGTTAGTAGTTCTCTGAACCTCGCTTTGAACTACATCAAGCTCTACCTATGCATCAATGGGCACTGAACAATTATTATGTTCATTGTACTAGTACTGTATCTACTGTAGAAGTGAAACCAGACACGGGCCAAGTCAATTTGCCGCGTTGATTTACGAAACAGCTACATTATACAATCTTCTTCTTTTTCAGATGGTTCTCCAGTCATTTTGTACCCTTGCGGTGTTTCCAACATTGATATGGACTGTGTGAGGGCTTTCATGTACCAGAACATTGATTGCACTCCGTCCTGCCACTCGGACGGCCAGCCGGTGTCCATGCCGACGCAGTATGCGTACTTGCCAAGTCTGAACGTTACCGCCATCAGCTCAGGCGTCGAGGTCACGTACGGTGGTAGCCAGGTCGTTGCATTCTAGTAAGTATCACCATTTAGCCTCAAATAAGGAACACAAATATATCTAGTTTACAAGCGACATATGGAGGATTTGTCACCACACTGGTCAAACGGGTTCGGATGGCCTGGTGTTCGTATATTAGACCTTTCGCCGCCTTGTATTTGGTCTATTTCTAATGGATAATATAATCATGGTTATTTAATTATTTACAGCTTGAATACGGCGACTAATATACTTGTGTTTGCTCTGGATTTCTCAAGTTTGGAGTTTTACTCCTCAAGCACCTTATTCCAATTAGCTCAAAGGAGAGCGGAGCCTAAAACAGTCTCTGACTACGTCAGAGTAACCTATGGTTAGTACAATGTTAATGTTTCTTTTATACAACTGTTTTCTGGTGGAATTTGGAATTATTATTATTGTGGTGGGCAATAATTTAACTAAGTTTGTTTTTGTAGCTCCCGAGCTGACAGCGAATATAAAATATCGCCCACTAATGGGGCTCACGTTTGACGACGTCACCGTGACAGCCTACCACAAAGAGCCATTCCCCTACTTCGAAGTCGGGCCGAACGTTACACAATCACCAGGTAAGTCATTCTAATTTGAGATCATTTGTCATTTTTAAAGGATCATAAAGCGAATTCGTATTCACTTTTAGCGAATTCTATTGAATGAGTTTATTCTATTTTTAGATTATATTTCATTTTTAGGGTTCCGTAGTCCTGACAAGAAACCCATAAAGTTTCGATATGTCTGTCTGTCTGTCCGAGGTTTTGCTTGGAAGTTTGGCTGTAATTTTGTGGACGCATATTTTTTTAGGGTAGGGTACTTGTATAGTGGGGTTTTTTTTATCTTCTACCCCATCGTGTGGGGTATCATTGGATAGGTCTTTTAAAATGGCTTAGGGGTTTCTAAGACTATTTTTCTATTTAGGGATCAGTTTGCAAAATATGAAAGTTTAAAGTGCCATTTTTTTGTTCGAGTTAAGGGCATCCACCCTTTAGCGTCAAGCGTTCCTATCGACGCTTACGTCAACGTCTAATGGAGACCACAACTTACTGTACATTTCTATAGTAATAATTGAGCAGGCGTTTTTAAAAGACCATAGCCTTAAAGGATAGAGTAGTAGTGCTGAAAACTGTTTTCAACACACCATGGATGATATGTTTCAGATCCTGAGGTGCGGCGCAAGCTTCAACTTCTGCTCAATGACGAGACGACAGCGGTGCAGGAGTTGTTCCTGACGGCGGCCTATTACGATTTCTTCGGCTTCGTAAAGGCCTACTTGTGTGATTTCGGCTCCGAGTATAATGGGGCCGTCAACAGGTCCTAGAGTAATACTATGTTCGATTGCTCTTTGGTAAAAATAATAAATGAAAAAGAAGTTAAATAAACTGGTTTCATTATGTTTCGTTCCCTAAATACCTACGCCACCTGAATGTACTGTAGTTGCGCTACACGAACGATAGAATATTATTGCTGGAGTAGAGCGTTATCCATACTCACACGCAATAATGTTCTATCCAATGGTTTTTCCATTTTATTTTATGTATGCGATAGCGAGAGAGAAGTCTGTATAAATAGTAAATAAAGTTTAGAATAGGATATTAACAATAAATGTAATAAATAATACAGCTACGAAGGCAAATCAAGCAAGTGTGTCGTTAGCATCAGATATTGACAAAACAGAATTAACAATACAAATACTAAACAAAAGACATTTATCAAAAAATGAATTTGTATAATAAAATGCTATCGGCCTAAAATAAAGAAAGTATTTTTATACTGCTCTAATAAGGTTTAAAATGGCATTTTGTAGCTGCACAAAGAACTTAGTACCTGTACCAACGCTTCATACAAAGTGGTTGTTCACCTTTCTTTTTAATTATTATCGTTGACAAAGCATTATAACATGAAGTTATAAAAAGAGGTTCGTCTATTAAACTTGAATCAATGGATCAAGTTCGGTGGCAAAATGATGAGTAGAGTGTTTTTAGTCGTTCTCCTTGTGGGTTGGTGTCATGGCCAGGGTAAGATATTCATTTATTTTTATTATTTTTACTGGTGAGAGCTAAGCAGTTACAGTTTACACAATGTAAAGCTTTTTCAAAATACCTATATTAAGGCATAATACAGGCAGTAAGCGAAAAAGTGAAAAAAAAATGAGGCTTGGCTTTAACGCTAATGTCAAGATGCCTATCTTAGAGAACATCACTATTGAGGCATTAACTCGTAACCCACCGTGGTGTAGACCACTGTAGCTGTCACTGGGCCCAGTGTTCAGTGTTGTGAGGGTCACAATTTTCATGCTGCTAAAGTTCCACCAGACACGGCCCAATACAATCTGATATGCTACTTTTTTTCAAGATTCCTCAGCATTTGTGTATCCTTGCGGAGTTTCTGGGATTCAGCTGGACTGTGTGAGAGCTTTTATATACCGATACATTAGTTGCACTCCCTCTTACCACCCGGACGGCCAGCCAGTGTATATGCCGCGACGAGTTACGTATATCCCCAGCTTAAACCTCACCGTCATCAGCTCCGACGTCCAAGTCACTTACCGTGGACCCCAGGTCGTGGCTTTCTAGTAAGTATCACATAATTACTACTAGCTTCAAAATGAAAGTCAATTTTTTTTTATGCTAGACAAGGCAGGTATTTGACCGCAATCGCACCTGGTGTTAAGTGAGATGCAGTCTAGGATGGTACATATCTGCCCTGTAAGTGCCTATTCACTCTCGCCTTGAAAACGTTTGCATAGACTATTGAAAATAGTGCTTACAAATTGTCAAATATTATTTGAATTAAAACTTTAAAGTTTTGCTCTAATGGAGCCTTCCCATGTCTCATAATCTTTTTGCCCTACCAGCTTCACTGTCATCAGGTCCGTAAGTCTCCTCTGCAGGATCCTCTCTAATTTGGGTACCAAGGGTAATGGAGGATTGCCAAACGGGTTAGGGAGGCCTAATGCCTGGTACGTCTAAGACGGGAAGCGTGGGAGTCTTCATATTCTACTAAGCATCTACATTTTTAGGTTTCATTGTAATGGTGATTAGCCTATTTCTGGTTAATGCATGATATTTAACGACTTACAGCTTAAATATGGTGACGAATATATTTGTAATGGCTGTGGATTTCACAAGTATAGAAATTTACAGCAGAAACGTTCAACTTCAAATTGCTAAAAGAAGAGCGGAACCTAAAACAGTCAGGGACTATGCCAGAGGAACCTTTGGTTAGTACAATGAATATAGTTTCTTTGAATTATTGTTTTCTGTTGCCATTCACAATTGTTGGTCAATAACATAAATAATTACCTAAGATTGTTTTTCTAGCTCCCGAGCTGACAGCAAATATAAAATATCATCCAGAAAGGGACATCTCCGTAGATGATATTACAGTGTCAGCCTACCACAAAGAACCGTTCCCCTGCTTTGACATCGGACCCAATTTCACACAATCGACAGGTTAAGTCATTTTTGAGATCATTTTGTCATTTTTAAATCATTTAAAAGGCAAATTGTTAGAAAGGTAGAAATGAATGATGATATTTTGACTTTGGTCACTATAGGTTATCTGATAACGAATTCTTCTAAATTACAAACGGATGACAAGACATTTAGGGTGGGTTGCACCATCTTACTTTAACTTTGACAAACTTCAAAAATCTGTCAAAATTCATACAAAAAGCACCGGTTATCGTCAAATAGGTGGTGCAACATCATTAAAGTTGACTGACTGAACCGAACCGTTTATAATATTAACAGGAGGGCGGTACTATCAATACTGGGTTATTGCTTCCGATTTTTGCCACTTGACGTTGCAGAATCGTTTGAAAAAAGTTGAGATATAATAAATCTAGTACAAACATTATTGTCTGATAAGCTGTCGATTATTCCGTCTTATCTATGGATGACGGTTGCAGACCCAGAAATGCAGCGCGTGCTTCAGTTGCTGCTCAATGACGAGACGACAGCGGTCCAGGAGCTGTCCCTGACCGCGGCCTATTACGACTTCTATGGCTTCGTAAATGCCTACTTGTGTCGTTTTAGTTTTAAATATAACGGGGCCGTCAACAGGTCCTAGAATAATATGTACTTATTAAGTATGTTTGAATGCTCTTTGATTAAAGAAAATTATTAGTGAAATGGTTTCATTAAATGTTTCTTTACCTAGGTATACTTTTGTTTGGTCATCATTATAAATAGGTACATCTGCACTTCGTATTTAATCTACCATATCTTAACCTGTCGGCTAGTTACACGTTTATACTTTTTGATAGATCAAAACAAGCTACGCTGAAAATCAGTGTCGTGGCATACCTACAGTTACGACTGATTGTCTGTGTCGAGGACCTTTTTGGCACAATACACACATTAATCTGCATTTTAATTTTAATTTATAGAGTTTTTCATAAAAAAAATATTTTTATTGTATGCCAAAAAAGGTATTCTATTCTATGCATACGGCCAAAAAACGTACCTACACTGTACGTTTGAGAATGAGAGACCTAGTGAAATTAACTATTTTTTAATGCTCGTACTATTTAACTCCAATTAATTAATGAAAGCTTAGTCAGTTCTAGGCTCTAGCAAGGCTAAAATCAGGATAATTTAAAACTATGTACCTTAATGGGTACGATTTTGCAAAAAGGACATTGTTTGATATGTTTTGACTATGACTTTACATATTCAATAATAACCAATTCTTTAAAATATTATAGACAGACATTAATATTATTAGTGACTATAAATTTGCAAAAACAACAAAACATTATAACTACTGAAAAATCAATTCGGAGCGACGTATTATTACGCGGAATTTGATTGAACTGCAGAATAAATCCTGACGCACTTCTCCAATTTAATCTTTATGCAAGAATGATTCACTGCTGTTGACACAGATGTTAAATTCAAAATGCTTTCTTTTTAAAATCATGACAACGAAACACTATAAAAGGCAGCAAGATCGCAAGATTTGGCTACATTAATTGATTGATTGAGAGACAAGATGGTGACTAAAATATTTGATCGCTCTATTGGCTGGATGGTGTCACTGCCAAGGTAAGATATTCATTTATTTATACATAAATGTTACTAATCCTATTAGTTCGAGAGTGAATAACTGCATTTTTCATCGTCTTATACATTTCTAAGCCGATGATCCACAAAAAGCAGGTTTCAATATCAAACTCTAATAAATTCACAAGTTTCGGATACGTGTTAAAAACTTCTTTGACATACCGAACTGCATACGAGTGAAGCCGTGCAAAGGCGCTAATATTAATGTTTGTCATTTGAATGCCTTACGAGCTATGTGTTTTTTATTTAAGGATGTTACAGAATTTGTCAATACCTTGGCCACGTGGTTGGCCGGCGAGAAACTTCTTTTTAATTGTGTGTTCTTTTCGACTGTCATTTGTTTTCTTCAGCATTCTTTATCGACTAACTTTCACTTTTTGTACTCTCGAAAGAGTTATTATTTAGTGAATTTTCATAATTTATTATTATTTAACCTAGTGTGAAATACCAGCAGCGTTCTTAATATTGAGGTCTATTTTCCAGATTCAAGTAATATAGGAGCTTTCCTTTCAGATGCCGCTTCAAACATTGAATATCCTGCGGCGTTTCCGATATTGACATGGATTGTGTGAAGGATTACGCGTACAGAAGCATCCCGTGTACCCCCGCTCAGCATTGCGACGGCCAGCCAGTATACATTCCTCGTCAATTAAAGTATATACCTAACTTGAACGCTACCTTCACCTGCATTGACGGTCAAGTCACCTTCTACGGAACCAAACTGGTAACATTCTAGTCAGTATCGCATAAAAAAAGTCAGCAAGATTATAATTATCATCTGTTAACCTGTATTGTGGAAACCCTTGGGAGTTACAGTCCAGGAGTGGACGTCATTTGGCTGAAACGAACGAACGAATCTGTATTATTTATCATTATAATATTCTTATTTGATCATAAAATCTGAACATTTATTTTCACCTGAGCAAACGTAATTAATACTTAACAACCAGATGTATTTTAATTTTAATTATTCACAGTTTAAACAAGGCTACTAACGTCCTTGTGTTTGCGGTGGATTTCGACAGCATAGATAATAAATAAAAACTGTCCCGTTGGAAAAATTGAATTAGCCCAAAGGGCTAGTGAGCCGATCGTAGTTCAAGACTATGCCAAGATGACATATGGTTAGTATTTCTCTTTTTAATCCTGAAATAACTCTTTTTTTCTTTATTTGTGGTTTTAATCTTTGAATTGAAGTATTTTAATAATATGAAATAAGTATTTAACAGTTAGGTAGAACAATCTTTGTCAGATTTACCTACTTGTGTAAATGGTAACAATATTATAATTTTTAGCTCTTGAGTTGACCGCAAATATTAAATATTGTCCAGAATATAATGGATACTCTTTTGAAGACATCACGGTGTCAGCTTTCAACAAGGAACCATTCCCATATTTCGAGGTCGGACCCAACGTAACACAATCCACAGGCGAGTAATTCTAATTTTAGGTTTATTGGTCTTAGTTTCTTTTTCATCTTAAATTACGTCTCAGTTTTTTTTTTTATATTTTTAATGCATAACAAGGCAGGTATTTGACAGCAATCGCACCTTGTGTTAAATGAGATGCAGTCTAGGATGGTGATAGACATAATAATATCTGTCTTGTAAGTGCCTATTCACTATCGCCTTTAAAAGGCCCGGTTTATGGTGAATGTTTAAACAGTTTGTTTAACAAATGCTTTCCAACTATTTATAGATATGTCGCAGACGGTCATGAGTATGGACACTAAAGTGGAACGCAAGTGCGCCACCTAGCGGCGAATCGGCGCAACACCACTTTGGCGCGCTTCGACAGAGTCGTAACGGTCACGGCGGGACGGATCGAACTCACTTTCGCTCCGGACGCCGACAAGAGAAGACATCGTCACGAACTGTCCCACGTTTCACCTAGTGCCTATTTTATCGCTCGACGAAGTCTAGATTGTAATACTAATAACTAAGTGCTGGTTTTGAACACTGTTTGACGATTATTAAAAGTGTTCGAACACAAGTCTCATTCTCATTGCACGATACCCTATTTCGCCCACAATATCTGAGGTTCGAATCCCTGACGAGCCGACAGATAAATATTTTTGAATATGATGATATTCTTTCGTAAGACAATTAAATTGACCAAAAGACAGAATAGTTCAGTAAAATTATGTAATGCAGTTCAATGATAGAGCAGAAACGCCACTACATTCTCACGGACTGCGGACCTTTGAGCTTACACCTGGGTAAACACATCCTAAGCCCACTAGATGTAAAACATATCCCCCTTCCCCCCCAAAACATACTGCACTACCAAATGGATGCAGGACTCGATTATTGTGTCTGCCAGAAATCTAGCAAATAGATCAAAATGCGTATTTTTTTATATACTTTAACGAAACTCTTGGCCGGCGTCTCACCTCATGAAAAGTGATGATCAGGCCGAGATGGAAGCGAGTTTCACCCGAAATCCTCAAACACAAAGGAACTGGCTTTATTAATAACTGTTGGATCACAACAACGCTGTTTTTGTTGTAATGGCGATACATATTATTATAATAAAACACACTTTATTTTACACCACCCAAGACAAGACGGTTATTATGATTAAAACGACATGATTTGCCATATACTCACGTCCGAAATACCGCAGTGTCTCAAGTCGAAAGTATTTGACCAATGTGTGTTGCTAGTGATGGTATACGGATCTGAGACGTGGTCGCTTACTATGGGCCTCATAAGAAGGCTCAAGGTCACCCAAAGGGCGATGGAGCGGGCTATGCTCGGAGTTTCCCTGCGTGATCGAATCAGAAATGNATCATCTGTTAATCTGTATTATGGAAATCCTTGGAGGCAGTCCAGCAGTGGACGTCATTTGGCTGAATCGAAAGAACGAATCTGTATTATTTATCATTGTAATATTCTTATTTGATCATAAAATCTAAACATTTATTTTCACCTGAGTAAACGTAATTGATACTTAACGTATTGTAATTTTATTTAATTATAGTTTTAAACAAGGCTACTAACGTCCTTGTGTTTGCGGTGGATTTCGACAGCATGGTTAAAAACTGTTCGGTTGGAAAAATTTAATTAGCCCAAAGGGCTAGTGAGCCGATCGTAGTTCAAGACTATGCCAAGATGACATGTGGTTAGTATTTCTCTTTTTAATCCTGAAATAACTCTTTTTTTCTTTATTGAAGTATTTTAATAATATGAAATAAGCATTTAACAGTTAGGTAGAACAATCTTTGTCAGATTTACCTACTTGTGTTAATGGTAACAATATTATCATTTTTCAGCCCTCGAGTTGACCGCAAATATTAAATATTGTCCAGAATTTAATGGATACTCTTTTGAAGACATCACGGTGTCAGCTTTCAACAAGGATCCATTCCCTTATTTCGAGGTCGGACCCAACGTAACACAATCCACAGGCGAGTAATTCTAATTTTAGGTTTATTGGTCTTAGTTTCTTTTTTTATATTTTTAATGCATAACAAGGCAGGTATTTAACAGCAATCGCACCTTGTGTTAAAGGAGATGCCGTCTAGGATGGAGATAGACATACTCGTATGTCTGTAAGTGCCTATTCACTCTCGCCTTGAAAAGGTCCGGATTATAGTGAATTTTTTAAAGAGTTTGTTTAACAAATGTTTTCCAAATGTATTTATAGATATACATTTTTTCCACAAAATATCTGAAATGTAGCTGAAACGATGATGACGACGACTATTTTTTTCGTGGACAATTGATCAAAAGACAGAAAAGTTAAAGTTAGAAATATGCAATGCAGTTAAATAATAGAGCAGTAAGGCAGAACGATTATTGTGTCTGCCAGCAAATCTAGCAATTAGACCCAATAGCGTATTTTTTTTTATCTACAACAATTAAACTTGGCCGGCGTCTCACCTCATGAAAAATTATGATCAGACAGAAGATGGAAGCGAGCTTCACCCGAAATCCTCAAACACAAAGGAACTGGCTTTATTAATAACTGTTGGATCACAACAACGCTGTTTTTGTTGTAATG